GCACAAGCTGTAAATCATGCTGCTGCATCAACAGACACAAATCAGCATTAATCAAACATGTGCTGATCAGTGATGTCTTTAAGAGTCCATAATAACAACATCAGTCAGCAAGTTTCAGTTTGTTAATGAACACTTTCCTCTCCTAACATCTCTTTCATTGAAGATAGAAAGATGTTTCCAATAAAGCATTGTCACTGGATCTGGTAAGTATAATCAAGTCAAAACCTCAGTCACATATACTGTCAAGAGTTCAGGTGAGAAACCATCTAATCAATCAGTTATGGAAGAGACTATGTTAGATGTGATAGATAATGCTAGTGTTATCTTATGTGTTAACTAATTAAACTATGATGGTAATAGTCTGCGGTATAATGCATCTGTACTAACATTCATCATTTACAGATCAAGCTAAAACAACAACAGCAGTAACTTCTACTCAAGGCACAGTCAAAAACTGAACTTTCACTGCTGTGAGTTTTACTGAATCCTCTCTTGTCTGTGTTACTTAAATAATATATACAATCACTTGAACTTAAATTGAAAGAGTTGTTTCAATGAAATAAAGTGTCTCGTCAGCTTTACTTAAGTTGTTCTGTCAAAGTAACACGAGTAAAACTCATAAATGAATGAACGCGATGCAGGCCGTCTCTTTATGCACAAAATATCAATATGAGCAGCTGAAGGCCAAGAACAACATGCAAGACAGAAATGCTGGGGATTATGAGTCTGAATGGAAGATTATGGAAGATGATTTTTACTGCTTGTTCAATTTACTTAATTAAAATGAGCTAGAGAAACACAATTTTTGAATATTTTATCAGTACCTAATTTCATTGTGTTCAGTCCACAAGTTTATTTAATCTATTAGTTTTTAGTTAGTCATTTTTGCTGCATTCACTGTAACTGCATGGGTAGATGTTTAGTTCCCAGCATGCTTTGCACAGGACTGAGCTGGGAGAGTAAATGTTGAAATTAAGTGTTATTTCATGCATGTTTGAGTAAAGGGATGTTCAGTTATTTTGAGCTTTTCTAAGAGTTGAAGTGTTTTGTGGTAACCATTGTGCTGAAGAGAGCTTGTGGTTTGGTTGTAGGATGATGGCTATGGTGTCCAATCATAGACAACATTCAGACGCACAACAGCCGCCCACAACCTGAGCTCAAACGTCACTCTTCAGCACAATGGAAAAACACAGACATCAGTTCACTGGATCTGCTCAAAATAACTGAGCTATATAACTAAAACATTGCCTAAATTCAAATAGAACTAAACTTTTCATTTGAATTCTAACATAACATTGTTAAATAAAACAAAATGATAGAACAAACTGTTGTATTTTTTTTTTTACTGCAAGTCCTATATAATATGGTCACAAGCTCTGCGAACTCTGTTGACAAAACTTGCGACTGTTGTTGACTTTGGGAAACGCACCTATAACTGTAGTCCACTTATGACATGCTGAAGATGAGAATAAACAAAACATATTGATTACTTTAACCTGAACATAAACTTGAACTTGTCAAAGACTCACCATCAGCGGGTTACATGAACAAAGCTAAACAAAGGACTATGAAAATAAGAGGTCTATATCTATATAATGTGTGTGTATATATAAATATATACAAATTAAATATTGCAATAAATAAATGATCCACGCTACAAACTGTAAATAGAAGTGAAAGTTAAAGTGACATGATGTATGGTGATGTATTAGTGCTCTGCATTTATCCCATCCTAAGTGCACACACACAGCAGTGAACACACACACCATGAACACACACCCGGAGCAGTGGGCAGCCATTTTTGCTGCGGCGCCCGGGGAGCAGTTGGGGATTCGGTGCCTTGCTCAAGGGCACCTCAGTCGTGGTATTGAGGGTGGGAGAGCGCTGTACATTCACTCCCCCCACCTACAATCCCTGCCGGTACGAGACTCGAACCCACAACCTTTGGGTTGCGAGTCCGACTCTCTAAACATTAGGCCACGACTTCCACCCTGAAATAGACACTGAGACGGAGCTGCTCTGCACTACAGCAGTTATAATAAATCACTCTCAGTTTGTAAAAGAAATTATTAGATGCATTAAAGTATGATTGCTTTAATAGTTATAATGCCAACTACAGAAAATGTGTACTTTTGAAAAACAGGACACAGACTTGTGATTTAATGCATGGTGATGAACAAACAGCATCTAGTCAGGAAGCTGATTTATATTCATGTATTTCCAGTGCTCTGGCTGTTTCTCCTCTTTTTCAATTCTTTTTTCCACTCCTGATATGTAGTTGAGCTTTCTGATGATGAAAAACCCTTTGAGCTTCAACTCTCTCAGTTTCATTCTCTTCTCCGTCTCGGGACATAAGAGGGCATCTTATAACCATTTAACTGAGCCGTAACAGCTGCCTGAGTCTTACTTACAGCTTTTAGTTGCTTTGCCGGCGGTTCTGAGACCTAAACAACCATTTATATCTAGAAACAGCCTCGATGGAAACACCTCTCTTCACAATAACTGCCACTGCAAACTGATGATGGAACACGCACTGCATGTCATGTAATGAAGAACTATGGAAATATGATGTTAATGTCCTCCAGTATTATGATGCACCTGAACGTTCATCTTCTGCAGCTCCAGATTCAACACTGATTCTAATGAAGCAGTGCGAGTTCATTCATCATTTCTGTGATGTGAAGCTCTAGTATGATGTGATGTTGATGATGTTCATTATGTTTTTGAACTGAACTAACAGACATGATCACAGATCCAGCAGAAACTGAAGTCAGGATAACTTTTGCTAGACATTTCTTACAAATCAAGTCTGAGTATAAAGATATTTTCTCACACTTTTAATACAATATAAGACTACAGTAAACACTATACAGGCAAAGTCTGACCCTCATCTAATTCTGGCCAAGCCCCGCCCATCCAGACACAAAGGACCAATGGGAGCAACATTCAGTGAGCAGCCACTATATATATACAGTATATATATATATATATATATATATATATTCAACTCTGTGCTGTCTGAATGTGAGAATATAGTAACACTGTAACTGTGACACTGAAACACAAACAGACTCATGAAAATACTCTTCCAGAAGTTTGTTTGTGTTGATTCATTTCTTTGGGCTCTTGAAAGCAGATTCCTTTTCAGTCATCGATCTAATTACTAATCATTTTACTGCTTTGAGCACTAAGAAGCCCTCAGATATTTAGTTACAGAAATAAGAGGAGGTGACATCAGAATGATTCAGATTCACACCAATCAGTCTAAACTGGGCTCAGAGATGAGCTCGGCTCTACTGCGGTCAAACTGAGTTCTGAGTAACATGAGTGACGTGTTTCCAAACCTCAACAGTGAGATCACAGCTCTGAAACACTGCAGCTGCTATAATTAACACACTATTTTAGTTATGAGAGTGTAGAATAGATGCAAAACATCACCGTAAAACTTCATATGGAATATGATGATTCCATAATCACTATTATCATAATCATTGGCAGAAACACAGCAAATAAATGACCTTCATATGCTCACTCATGGAAGTGTGGAGACAGTAGTGAGCGCTTTGTTGTGAGAGTCTTGAGTATTGTGAGAAGTTTGTCTGATATCGCTGTTCTGGACTCTTAAAGACATCACTGAGTGGCATGTTTGTCTTTATGCTCATAATGACAAGCCAAAGCATTTATAAAATATAGCTTTTTACGACCATTTCCAAAGTAGCCGTCTTGTAAAGCATCTCTGAAGATATAAACAGCTCAGTCTGTGTCACAGCTCGCAAATCCAGCTCACCGTGAATCATCAGCCGTCAGAGACTCGTGCTGCTGTGAAATCCACCGGCCGAAGAGAGAATGTGCTGGAGTTTGTGGTGTTAATAAAGGACTCTGGATCTGATGTGTTTTCTCAGGGCTGGAGAGAGAAAAGCAGCACGTTATGATCCATGAGCAGAAACACTTTACAGACGCGTGTGTAGTGTGTGCAAAGACTCTTTGTTTGATCAAGCAGGAATTGATGTTAATAATTTCAAAATACTTTAAAAACTGTTTTAGAATTAATTTCCTACAAGAGAGTCATGGATAGTGGAAAATAATAATGTAATGATTTTATTTCTAGAATTTAATGGCATGCAGGAAACTGCTAAACTAACAGTAAAGTAAAGAATAGCCTATAGATTGTGTTCAGAGCAAATGTGGTTAACACTATGCAGTTCACACACTGAAGAACATGTTTCACACAATGTGAAGAAACACTTCTCCTTTATGACTGGCATCGTGTCACTATTATATCAACTTTAGCATGATTTAAACACTCAGTCCTTCAGATCAGAGGAAGTGAAGAAACACAGGAGGAGCTGATAGTATTTAAAGAAAGAGTTGAGAGCATATAATGAAGAGGAAGACTGAGAGAAAGAGAAAATGTCTGATGAGTGTCATCTGTGTCTGCTGGGACTGATCGTTCTCTCTTCACTTCTCACAGGTAAAGAAATCTGTGTTTTCTCTACAAGACATTCAGTGGAATTAGTCTGAGAAAGAGTTCATTTGAACATGATCAGTTTCTTCTTGTGTTTCACACAGAACATACTGGATTATTCCTGAACGCACCAAAACTAGACAGTTTCACACTCTAACATCTGATGCTGAATTATTTTCATATTGAGAGTGTGTTTGTGATTTGAACAGCTCTCTGATGAAGAACAATAGTTTATTCTGGAGAGTGTGTTGTTTGCATTAAATGAGGAAAAAACTATTATTTGAATCTTCTGCTTTTTTTTTCTTTGCTGGTATTAATATATAGTATAATGATCAGTCAGATGTTCTTGTGTTTCAGGTATCGCTGAACATCAACAACATCTCAAAAGAAGATTATGGATCTTACACCTGCAGACAATATGTGAATGACAAACAACAAGGAACTGATGCTCGTGTTGATCTGCATGTGCTTCATGGTAATTTTATGATTAAGTGGTCAATTTAAAAAGGGAAAATTCTTCATTTAAACTCTCCTGATGATTGAAGAGTCTGTGTGTGTTTCAGTCTCTTCTTCATCCTCCTCATCCTCACAGACTGAGATCAGTGCAGGCCGCTCTGTGACTCTCTTCTGTCAGTTGTATTCATATCCTCGAGGCTCTTGTAATGATTGGATCAGTTCTGAGAGAATTGAGCTGTTCTGGGTGAATCAGGCTGGTGTTAAACTGACGAGATCAGACTCCAGATATCAGATATTATTCTCATCAGATCACTGTATCATCACTCTGAATACAACACTCCTGAATGAAGATCACAACAGAGAGTGGAGATGCAATGTTACTCAGAGAGATCAAGTCAAGAGCTCAGTCACATACACTGTCAAGAGTTCAGGTGAGAATCACTGAAGTGGAAGTAGAAACAGCTTCATGTGATTAAATGTTTACAGATGTTTTTAAAGCTGCACTCTAAATAATGATAAATGAACATAAACCATTAAAATACAAAAATCTATCTCATTGCATTGTTGATCAAGGATTGAAACACAGGCTCCAGTACATATCTATCATTTCTGTGATGTGAAGCTCAAGTGTGATGTTGATGATGTGATGATGGTTTGTTTATGTGTTTACTATGTTTGAACTGAACTAACATTGATGATCACAGATCCAGCAGAAACAGAAGTCAGTAGGACTGCTGGATCATTATTCAGAGGTACTACACCTCTTTACATTGTTCATTGTTTCATAGCTTTGAATTAATTACCAGTTTCACAGATTGAGTCTCTTTGTTTTCTCTTGATCGTGTCTCTCATCTGTCCTGCAGTGATTGTGATTATTGTTGAGTTTGCAGTGTTTGCTGCTCCTACTGTGATTCTTCTTCAGATCATCTGTGCAAGAAGAGCTGGTGAGTTTTTCAGCCTCACACAATCTGCAACAATATTTGAAATAGCAAAAAATAAAAAATTAAATTAAATTCTTCTCAGAAAACAAAGAAAAAAACTCTGACGACCTTGAAGAAATAGTGATACCTGTAAGAGTTAAAGAACCTCAGACACTTTGATCTTCTGAGATATGGACAACACACACACACACACAGTGTATTAACATACAGACATCTGTTTGGACATCTCACTGAGAGAAGATGCGGGAAAAGTCTTCTCACCTATCCTGTTCCTCCACTTGCTTCCCCTCACTCCGCTCACTCAGAATGGTCAAGAGCAAGATATGTTCTGTTCTACATGAATGCAAGTGTTATTCACAGTCATGTTTGGTATCATTTGAATTGTCTCACGTCGACTGCTACAATGGTCTCAATCTTACGAGAAGTAGACTAGAAGGTAATACAGATCCTAAGAGTTTAGAGATATTTTGCTCACTGTAGATGGTGTGTCATTTCCCAGTGTCTTTCATGCAAATTATCATCTGTCCCCAAAAGGTGTAAACTTATGTTTGAACTGAACTAACATTGATGATCACAGATCCAGCAGAAACAGAAGTCAGTAGGACTGCTGGATCATTATTCAGAGGTACTACACCTCTTTACATTGTTCATTGTTTCATAGCTTTGAAATAATTACCAGTTTCACAGATTGAGTCTCTTTGTTTTCTCTTGATCGTGTCTCTCATCTGTCCTGCAGTGATTGTGATTATTGTTGAGTTTGCAGTGTTTGCTGCTCCTACTGCGATTCTTCTCCAGATCATCTGTGCAAGAAGAGCTGGTGAGTTTTTCAGCCTCACACAATCTACAACAATATTTGAAATAGCAAAAAAAATTTTAAAAAAAAATTCTTCTCAGAAAACAAAGAAAAAAACTCTGACGACCTTGAAGAAATAGTGATACCTGTAAGAGTTAAAGAACCTCAGACACTTTGATCTTCTGAGATATGGACAACACACACACACACACAGTGTATTAACATACAGACATCTGTTTGGACATCTCACTGAGAGAAGATGCGGGAAAAGTCTTCTCACCTATCCTGTTCCTCCACTTGCTTCCCCTCACTCCGCTCACTCAGAATGGTCAAGAGCAAGATATGTTCTAATATTCTACATGAATGCAAGTGTTATTCACAGTCATGTTTGGTATCATTTGAATTGTCTCACGTCGACTGCTACAATGGTCTCAATCTTACGAGAAGTAGACTAGAAGGTAATACAGATCCTAAGAGTTTAGAGATATTTTGCTCACTGTAGATGGTGTGTCATTTCCCAGTGTCTTTCATGCAAATTATCATCTGTCCCCAAAAGGTGTAAACTCTCCACATCTAGGACTTGATCAATGCAAATTCCATTTGTTAGTTCCTGTCTCCATTTGGGGGGTGCTTGTCTTGATTTGAGTATTTAAGGAAATGTTGCAAGAAGATCGGGGCGATTCTGTACTCAGATCAGCCCATAATGCTATTATGTATATTCCCTATGTCAGGTATGCATCTTTTACTCTATTCCTGTGCATTTGATGTTTTGTATCAATCATCTTTGAATTATGTAATTGGCATGATACATTTACCTGACTAACAATAAAGTGTTACATTTGATTCTGTTCTGACTTACTCTGAAATTATTTACTTTAGTAGATACGATGTATCCTTTGTTTCCGCAAGTCTGCATCCAGGGTTAATACATACTAGACCTCGGATTGTATGGAGCATGAGGCACATCGGGCAAGAATCTAGATTTCTGATTAACTGCTTGACTTTAATTAAGTTGTTATGCAGCCACAATTACTACAGTGGGCTAGACAAAGGGAAGTACTAGCCATAACCTCAACTAAGTTAGCTATGTTGTAACTAATGTAACTAAGTTGTTATATAGATGGTTGTAGGGGGCTACATGGGTACCGTTTAATGACAGCAAGCATGGGCGGCATTGTTAAATTGCTTTAGCCATAACCTCTGATTATTGATCAGACTGGACGAGTTTGTGATCGTGGGCCAGCATAATTCATTAGCCGCGGATGCGAGGACCCTGTGCGACACTGAGAACTGTATGAAAGAGTGCAATAAGAGTAAAGAGTAAAACAGAATAATCAGATGTCTAGATCAGGGATGCCCAAACTCAGTCCTGGAGGGCCAGTGTCCTGCAGAGTTTAGATCCAACTTGCCTCAACACACCTGCCACGAAGTTTCTAGTATGTCTAGTAAGAGCTTGTTTAGTTGGTTCAGGTGTGTCTGATTGGGGTTGGAGCAAAACACTTAATATAAAGTGGGTCCAAACTCTGCAGGACACCGGCCCTCCAGGACCGAGTTTGGGCACCCCTGGTCTAGATAAAGGATAAAAATGGAGTCAGATAACAAATTGGCATTCTAAGCTAAATTCGAGGTCATAACAAAATGGTGTCAGAAAATAGTCTAAGCTGCCATAAAAATACTTTGCGCACCGAAAAGACCGAACGCACAGGAAACCTTCGGCCACCGTTGGATACCTTCGTTGTGCCAATTGCCATCCATTTTTAACTTTTTTTTAACAAATAACAGGCGAGATTTATTTTCATTCATATGGATTTTATGGATATTTGCATACAGTGTTCAAAGTCATTTTCTTGTGTTTGGTATATAAACTGCTTTAAATATAGTATTAAATGCATTATTGGACAGATTGTATAATAATCTCTGTTCTGTGTGATGGAGCTGCTTGGGTGATTATTTTATCTTGTCTGTTAATTCTTGTTTTTACAGTTATTTATTTATTTATTTATTTTGGATGATTACTACTAATTTTCTTAATAAAACCTCTGCAGTTGTGTTTAATATTTCACCTTTGCTGAGATATTTCTTACAAATCTGGTGATTCCCCTTCATGAGCTGGTAATGCGAGGATGCTAAACTGTGCAGCAAAGCAACAAAGATGAACAAATAATCTTAATCGAAATGATTAATTCATGCTCATAATAATTCATATAACTTTATTGTGGTTAGTCCAGAAATCCATTTTGATAAACTAATGACTTCCGCACACTTCACCTTTTCTCACAGCTGGGTTACAAGAGCAGATTTATTGGGTTTGGAGTTATTATTGCCCAAAAATAATTAGAAAATGTAAAACAAAGTTTGTTTGAGTATAAATATATTTGCTCACAATTTTAATACAATATAAGACTACAGTAAACACTATACAGGCAAAGTCTGACCCTCATCTAATTCTGGCCAAGCCCCGCCCATCCAGACACAAAGGACCAATGGGAGCAACATTCAGTGAGCAGCCACTATATATATATATATATATGAACGTGAGACAATAGTAACACTGTAACTGTGACACTGAAACACAAACAGACTCATGAAAATATTCTTCCAGAAGTTTGTTTGTGTTGATTCATTTCTTTGGGCTCTTGAAAGCAGATTCCCCTTCAGTCGTGATCTAATTATTAATCATTTTACTGCTTTGAGCCCTAAGAAGCCCTCAGATATTTAGTTGTGAATTTTATGTAAATCTAATATATTAAATTATTTACCATAATAAAAGAGAAGATTTGAAAGGAGGAATCTTCTCACATACTGTATATTCATTTAATTTGATAGAAATCTAAATCAAATTGAATTCAGATGGATGTTGATTTTATTAAAATAAGGGTTCAAATCAGTTTATTAAAGTCTTTATTAAACTCATTCCATTGTTAACTGAAAGCATCAGCTCACTTACAGAAATAAGAGGAAGTGGCATCAGAATGATTCAGATTCACACCAATCAGTCTAAACTGGGCTCAGAGATGAGCTCGGCTCTACTGCGGTCAAACTGAGATCTGAGTAACATGAGTAACATGTTTCCAAACCTCAACAGTGAGATCACAGCTCTGAAACACTGCAGCTGCTAGAATTAACACACTATTTTAGTTATGAGAGTGTAGAATGGCTGTCAACCATCTCAGCATTGTGACAAAGTCTTGACTCTGAATAGATGCAAAACATCACCGTAAAACTTCATATGGAATATGATGATTCCATAATCACCAGTGTTGGGGGTAGTAACTCATTACAAGTAATGCGAGTTACATAATCAGATTACTTTTGTCAAGTAACTAGTAAATCAACGCATTACTTTTTTAATTTACAAGAAAATATCTGAGTTACTTTTTCAAAAAAGTAATGCCAGTTACTTTGTTTTCCCATTTATTGACTGACAGCTCTCCTGTCCCCATACTGGGAGATTCTACTGTACAGACGTGAATTTACTTTTGCTTCAGCCTGAGGTTTATTCATTACACTTTTTGGTGTGAAAGGGCTTTTATATTTGCTATAAATACAACTTCTTATATTAAAAACAATCAAGCCCTGCTCATATTTAAAAAGTAACGCGGAAGTAACGCAAAAGTAATATAATGCATTACTTTCCATAAATAGTAACTAAGTAACGTAATTAGTTACTTTTTTAGGGAGTAATGCAATATTGAAATGCATTACTTTTAAAAGTAACTTTCCCCAACACTAATCACTACTATCATAATCATTCGCAGAAACACAGCAAATAAATGACCTTCATATGCTCACTCATGGAAGTGTGGAGACAGTAGTGAGCACTTTGTTGTGAGAGTCTTGAGTATTGTGAGAAGTTTGTCTGATATCGCTGTTCTGGACTCTTAAAGACATCACTGAGTGGCAGCACGCTATGATTCATAGTGGAAACATTTTCAGTATCAAACCAGTTTTATCACTAATAAGTTAATGATTTTATTTCTATAATGTAATGGCATGCAGGAAACTGCTAATCAAGCCCTGCTCATATTTAAAAAGTAACGCGGAAGTAACGCAAAAGTAATATAATGCATTACTTTCCATAAATAGTAACTAAGTAACGTAATTAGTTACTTTTTTAGGGAGTAATGCAATATTGAAATGCATTACTTTTAAAAGTAACTTTCCCCAACACTAATCACTACTATCATAATCATTCGCAGAAACACAGCAAATAAATGACCTTCATATGCTCACTCATGGAAGTGTGGAGACAGTAGTGAGCACTTTGTTGTGAGAGTCTTGAGTATTGTGAGAAGTTTGTCTGATATCGCTGTTCTGGACTCTTAAAGACATCACTGAGTGGCAGCACGCTATGATTCATAGTGGAAACATTTTCAGTATCAAACCAGTTTTATCACTAATAAGTTAATGATTTTATTTCTATAATGTAATGGCATGCAGGAAACTGCTAAACTAACAGTAAAGTAAAGAATAGCCTATAGATTGGGTTCAGAGCAAATGTGGTTAACACTACACTCTTAAAAATGAAGGTGCTTCAAAAGGTTCTTCAAGCGATGCCATAGAAGAACCTTTTTGTCTAAATGGTTCCATAAAGAACCTTTAACATCTGAAGAACCTTTCTGTTTCACAAAAGGTTCTTTGTGGCGAAAGAAGGTTCTTCAGATTATAAAAAGCTAAGAAAGAGATGGTTCTTTAAAGAACCATCTCTTTCTTAGCTTTTTATAATCTGAAGAACCTTCTTTCGCCACAAAGAACCTTTTGTGAAACAGAAAGGTTCTTCAGATGTTAAAGGTTCTTTATGGAACCATTTAGACAAAAAGGTTCTTCTATGGCATCGTGAAGCACCTTTATTTTTAAGAGTGTATGCAGTTCACACACTGAAGAACACGTTTCACACAATGTGAAGCAACACTTCTCCATTAAGCACTGGCATCGTCTTGCTATATAATGTAGCAGCTCTAGCATGATTTAAACACTCAGTCTGTAGATCAGAGGAAGTGAAGAAACACAGGAAGAGCTGACAGTATTTAAAGAAAGAGTTGAGCATATAATGAAGAGGAAGACTGAGAGAAAGAGAAAATGTCTGATGAGTGTCATCTGTGTCTGCTGGGACTGATCGTTCTCTCTTCACTTCTCACAGGTAAAGAAATCTGTGTTTTCTCTACAAGACATTCAGTGGAATTAGTCTGAGAAAGAGTTCATTTGAACATGATCAGTTTCTTCTTGTGTTTCACACAGAACATACTGGATTATTCCTGAACGCACCAAAACTAGACAGTTTCACACTCTAACATCTGATGCTGAATTATTTTCATATTGAGAGTGTGTTTGTGATTCGAACAGCTCTCTGATGAAGAACAATAGTTTATTCTGGAGAGTGTGTTGTTTGCATTAAATGAGGAAAAAAGACTGTATGATCTGAATCTTCTGCTTTTAATGCTGACATTAATATAATTAATAGGATAATGATCCGTCAAATGTTCTTGTGTTTCAGGTATCAGTGGAGTGGATGAGACTCATGTGTTCATCAGTTCTGGTGAAAATGTCCATCTGTCCTGTAGTAATGCTCTTCCTGACTGCAAATCAACTACATGGAACTATAACGGATTAAGAGATTCAGCAGTAGTTGAACTGATTAATTTAGGGATAAAGAAGAAAGACACAGAGAGTCATGAGAGACTGAGTCTGGGGTCTGACTGCTCTCTGAACATCA